ACCCTTCAATTGAGTGCAATTTGATGGCAGATGGATGGCATTATACAATCAGTAGATGCATGATTAATTGCCCCTATCAGGGTCTCACATGCAAATTTTGGCAACCACTTCTGAAGAGAAAAGCAGTAACTTACTCCACCTATTTTGCCTGCAGTGGCAGCAATTTTGTTTCCCTTTTGTGCAGTTGAGTTTGGTGTAAAGATGCCAAGGATTCAACTTTGTGTTCATGTGAGTGTTTTATGTTAGTGTCCCTGTGTTCCTGATGTACTACTCGCGCTTACCCCATTTTTGTTCAGCTGCTTTGCATGAGGGTTAATCTTCCCCGTTTAATCCCTGAGCCCATGGCTTTGTGAGCTGCCGTGCCACATGAGTTGGCAGACACTCTCCTCATTTGAGTCTAGAGTGATTGTGACTTGTGGGAAAATCCGTCTCCCAGCTTCCTGTCACCTGCTATGCTCTTTAAAATCCTACCCTTCTGTCTTAAATTCTCCATTTCACCATCAGCACTCCCTTTTTCTGCTCTGTGCAGTGAAGACCAACTTGAGTTTTCCACGTTTTCCCAGGGCTTCACAAGACTCTCCCCTTTGAGATCCCTTACAATTATTATCCAAAATCCCAGGATTGACCATGCTTCATCCCCTGGACTGATTTGGGAAGACAGCCTTAACTGAGCACAGCTCAACCCAAACCCTGGACTGATGTCTCCACAAAATCCAAGAATAATGTGCCTGCAATCCAGGCTGGTTGCAGAGATTGGATGATCCCTTTGACTAACTATTGTGCTACAGGCCATAGACCCCCTCCACTCCACTAAGGATTGCTTTCCTGACTTTCAAACATGACCATTTGATGAAAGTGCACGCACTTTGTTTGCTGTCTGCTGGCACATGCTGTAGATGTTATATTGATGTAGCATTGAGCAGTGTAGTGCCTCACAGCAATATGTTTATCTGCTCGACTGTTCTGTGTTCTGAACCAAGACCATCTGCTTACCTCTCTCTCTCTGCGCTAAGTAGCAATAAAACCAGAGAAACTGGTAGCCTGTAACTTAGGACTGAGGAGCTTATACAGTATAAAACAATACACACGAGAGGGGCTATCAGCCTCTAAGCTAGCACATAGCTTACTTTCCTAGCACTCACTCACTAAGTGGCACAAGATGCATCTTATCTAGATGCATGAGATGTGTCTGTGCATAAAGCAACCTGGCAGAAGCATTGCAAATCATCAATATTCCTGACCTCCAAAGTGAGATCCTGAAGGGCTGAAGTGTTATGTGAGCTGGTCCAAAATCATCCACGATAATGTGCTGAGGCTGGTGATTTGGCAATAGCCACTTGCAGGGAAGAAAGATGAAGAAGGATGGTGCCTGTGGGGCATGCAAGCAAATACTGGTGATGGTAAAGTTGGATGAAAGCTCAGAGAAGCAAACCACAAGCTGTGCTGCCAGGTAATCGCTTTACCATGTTGGGAATGGCTCTGTCTAGTTTCTTGGGAAGGGAATGGGGAGCTGCATAGAACTAAGGCAAACCTAGCTATTAATGAGATGCAACAATGTGGAAATAAGATAGTCACCACTCAATTCAGATCTCCTTATTTATTTCCCAAATACAGAATTGGAAACTTGTTTTCTTATTGGGAACCTGTTTTTTTTTTATTCTTGCTCTATTTTCTTAGTTTTCTTGCTATTGCCCGTGCCATTTAAAGCAAAGGAAAATTCTATCTTTGGTATTAAATTGAACTTTTACTTGTTGCTTGACTTATTTGAACATGCCTTAGGATACTACACTCAAATTTTGAGCAGCAATTTTTGATGGTCTTCTCGAATGACTGAGTGGCCACCCTGTTCTTCACACAGTAGTAAACAGAAATGCAATCTGAAAAGGAAGATTCGTATCTGGAAGGCATGCTGAACAATGATGAATCCAACAATTATAGGACCTGTGAGCTCTCTGGTAGTAAAATATAATTCTCTGCGATGGATTTTCGATAAGTGACTCTTGCATGCTAACTGGAATGATGTTGCGGTCAGATAGACTTGGATGATTTTGATCAGGGTGATTCTAAGATAGACAGACAGAAATACAGCTGTGACAGACCCTGTGGCCAGGCATCAGTGCATGCATATGGTATGCATCATATGTCATCAAGCTGGCACTATTGCGCTATGCCTCATGGTGACTCCTTATTACACCTGGGGTCAGACCTCACACATGTTTTACAACTGCATTTTCAACCACAGGGGACATTTTTGATGCAAGCTGTCAATATTCCATAGATGACGAGCACTGTTGGCATTCAACTGCATTGCACATTGTTGATCCAGTAATATATGAGAATAAGATGACCTGGACATTTTTATCCTGTGTCTGTTTGAAACATTTCCTTCTGTTGTCTGTATATTGGCAACGTTAGATCCAATCACAGTTAACTGGCACTGATATATGCATTTCATTACACAAAATAATTTGAGGGCTCCTGACAAATTAAAATTATTTAGAGAATGGAGTCTGATCAACACACAGTATCAATTCATCTAAATTTAAATCATATAACCCTTTTATGGGGAAGGCCTGAGGTTTATAGTGCAGGAAGCCATTAAAACTTTAAAAAAAAAATGACATGAATCAAAAATGCAGTCATTTAGGTTTCAGATGCCTGAACCTTACAGAAATAAGGGAAATTTGGGGTAAAGTACAATTCGGTATAAAATTAAACTACAGCTATTTTGTCAATTTCACATTATTTATTATATGTTATTTGCTTGGTTCATCTGCCCATTGAGTAGAACATGATCATATCACTATCTTGCTATTATTTTTAAAATTACAGTAACACAAACCATCTGTCCAAAATACCATTTTGTTGATGGTTAATATGTTTGCTCTGCTAATACTTATGCTGAAGAGCAACTTTTCTGTCTTTTTTTTAAAAACTGAGCTCCCTTTCATGGAGACTGATTGTAATCAATGACAGGCTTCCTAATTTGGCACATTAGATTAATATATTTTGTAAAATGCAGGTTATGCTCAGTAAAACATTGTTTGGTGCACACTTCTTTCAGGTTTTGGCCATTTTGTGTCTTCATGCATTCTTGGCTGTGTTGGAGTTGAAGCTAAACATTGAAGACCATAAGAAATAAGCAGGACTAGGCTGTTCATTCAGTCCCTCGAGCCTTCTCCATCATTCAGTTAGGATGATTGATGATTCAACGTTGATGTTTGACATGTCCACTTTCCTGTCCTTTTGCCCCGAACCCTTGATTCCACTACTAAACAAAAATCTATCTATCTCAGCCTTAAATATATTCAAGGACTCTGCCCCCAAAGCTTTCTGTGGCAAGGAGTTCCAAAGACTCTCAACCCTCAAAAGAAATTCCTCCTCAAAGCCGTCTTAAATTTGCACTCCTTTATTCTGAGACTATGCCCCCTGATCCTAGACTCCCCCATAGAGGGAAAGCATCTTCTCGGCACAGTCTGCTAGTTTACTTTATTGTTTTTCAGGAAATTCAGACAATTTCTGCCTGTCTGATTCAATTGTTTTCTATACAGTCCTAGCCAGAGAAACCTCTGCTGTGGCTTCTTTTCCGACTTCTGCACCATTGCAACTGGAGTCCCCTAATGATTTGTGCTTCATGCCTGACTATTTCTCACTGACCAACATTTAGCCCAGTGATTTATAAAATCAGATAGCTCCTTATATCCTGCTCGAGCAACCCTGCAGGACCTGTCTGAGCCAGGTTGCTTGAAATTTGAAGTCTTTCTTAGAGAATGTGCCTAGAATCAGTGTCTCGCCTTGTGAATGTTGATGAAGCTCAAGGAGCAACGCCTATCAATCCTTGCACCCTTGGATAAATGTGCATCGATCATATAGCATGCTATCTAGGCCCTAAGAAACAATGAGGTTCATTTCTGTCCCTGAATATTCAAATTCCCAGCTAAAGTTCTAAAGAGGCATCTTGCACATTTTTTGAATCACTTTTTGGTGGTTTGTTTTAAATGATGTTAGTGATAATTAAGATCACCAATAAATAATAGTCATAAAGGAATGGCCTATATAAAGCTATGAATTGAAAACCTGTTGCAGTCAATTCTTTTCTAACCTCAGTAGGAACAGTAGAATAGTAATTTCATTCATTTCCTAACAGTAGAGAACTGTGTGCATTTGTTTGCATTTTGCAGTTTGAACTGTGTGGTATTCTTTGCCACATTTGATTTCTTGTTTTGTAGAATCTTAAGATTGTATTTATCTTAATAGTTGCAAGCTTTGCGAACCATTGGATCTCTTGTGGGTTTCAATCCAGATGTTGGAACTAATGGACCATCATTCAATATTGTGTACAGATACAGATCACACCATCATAGATATCCCCCTTATGAATACATTTCACAGTCAGTTACATTATCTTGCTTGAAGCATGGAAAAATAATGTTTTGTAGTCGTGAAAATTGATTATTTGTATTAATTTGTAATCACTTGATATTGTCTACATTGCCTTCTTCTTTCATTTATAAATTATGCTGCAGAACTTAATTTTTGGTTTACCAGAGGTTCAAGGCTGCTCAAAATAGTTGTCTACAAAGCACAGTTTTTAAGGTGAAAAACTACATGCTAGAGTTTACTAAGGCATGCAGCGTGATCAGTCCATGCCAAAAATGCAATATGCACCATATTGGTTGGGTTGTTATGTTGTTTTCTAATGCACTTGCATGGAGCTGGTATCAGCATCAGTTCTATCAATATCGTCTTATGATTCATTTTGTTATCTGGATGGGATACGGTGAAGAGAATGACCAGCTCCAATTTTCTTAATTTTCTGTAATATTCCATACTGAATTGTCAGGCCAATTATTATCATTTTATCTTGTCAGTAATAGCCTGTAATGGTGATAGAACAATCCTGCAACATTTTAATGACAACAGTCTAGTCTCCCTGAGATAAATTTGGAACCATATGTAATTCCCTTAAAAATAATACTGTACTTTTCATTCTTTTGCAGGTCACAGTTCTCATTCTCTTTGCACTGGCATTTCTTACCTGCATAGTGTTCCTGGTGGTGTACAAAGCTTACAAGTATGAGCACAGCTGCCCAGATGGATTTGTCTTCAAGGTGAGATCCTCCCTTTGACAAATTTAGGAATAAGGCAATATACAAATGTTCTATAATATCCAATTTGATTATACACTGTCATGATCACTGTGAATTTGAACAGTAACTATATTTAGCTTGCACCAAGTCCAATTCAGACTAGGAGAAAGTAAGATCTGCTGATGCTGGAGTCAGAGATAACACAGTGTGGAGCTGGAGGAACACAACAGGCCAGGCAGCATCAGAGGAGCAGGAAAGTTGACGTCTCAGGTCGGAACCCTTCTTCAGAAAGGGTCCTGATCTGAAATGTCAGCTTTCCAATTTAGACTAGACTTGACATCAGCTCTCAGTCGACGAATGCATCATATTTTTAAAAAATAACTTATTTTTATCTTTAAATTCCTCCATAGCCTCACCTTGACTTATTTTGTTCTAAGCTCACTCAGTTCCACTGCTTTCTGAAAAATCTTGTTTCACTAATTTCACCATCTTGCACACCTTCAGTTTCTTTTGCTTTACTATTACCAGCCATGATTTCAGCTGTCTAGATTCAATGTTCTGAAATCCTTCTGTCAATCACTTGTTCTTTCTTTGAGGCTCCTTAAAGCCTACCTCTTTGACTGAGCTTTATTGTCATTTGTCTTATTATCACCGGTCTTGATATCTCCTCATTTGCCTCAATCCTGTGAAGAACTTTGGGACAATTCACGTTGAAGGTGCTGAATATTTGAGTTGTTTTTATACATTATGAGTAATTTTCTCAATAATATTCTTCTTTCCACCTCCTCCCTTGAAATTATTACCTAATTGATGGGGTTTCTCTTCAAGGGTTGACAGCAATGCCACAGTACCTCAGTCAAATGGTTATTATTGACTTGTGGGTCAGCAGGCTTGCACTTTGGGAGAGACGAGTTCATATGAACTGCTCTGGTCTTTCTCCCAGTATCTACAAACATACAGGTTTTTTAGACGATAGTGGTCAGGAGTTAAACCTGGATGATAATCTTCTACCTTAACCCTGGATACATAGGGATTTTCCACTATGCTTAATATCTAGTCAAGGTTACCAAATTCAGCACAAGTCAGGAATCAAACTTGGAAAATATCTGGTTAGAGACAAAAAAATTGCAGATGCTGGAATCCAAGGATAGACAAACAGGAGGCTGGAAGAACACAACAGGCCAGGCAGCATCTGGAGGAAAGGAGCAGTCAACATTTCAGGTATTATCCTTCTGCTTCAGTCTTGAAGAAGGGTAATACCTGAAATGTTAACTCCTCCTTTCCTCCAGATGCTGCTTGGCCTGTTGTGTTCTTCCAGCCTTCTGTTTGTCCACCTTGGAAAATATCTGGCTAGATACTTGCAAAAGTGTTTCAAATTTGCCTATTCTTGGCTCTTATTCATATTGCTTTTGTCAGTGCTGAAGGGTTTATGTTGTTTTTCTTGGTTTGAGTGTGTGATATTCCTCTAAAGAGCTTCAGTAGATTAACATTGTTAACGTTGTGCCACTATTTAAGAAAGGTGGTGAGGAAAAGCCAAGGAACTTTAGATCGGTGAGCCTGACATCGGTAGTGGGAAATTTTTGGAGGGAATCCTGAGGGACAGGATTTACATAAATTTGGAAGGGGAAGGACTGATTAGGGATAGTCAACATGGCTTTCGGCGTGGGAAATCGTGTCTCACTAACTTGATTCAGTGTTTTGAAGAAGTTATGTAGAGGATTGATGAGGGCAGAGTGGTGGATGTGATCTGTATGAACTTCCATAAGGTGTTCAACAAGGTTCCTCATGGTAGACTAGTTAGCAAGGTTGGATCACATGCAATACGGGAGAACTAGCCATTTGGATACAGAACTGGCTCGAAGGTAAAAGACAGAGGATGGTGGTGTAGGGTTGCTTTTCAAATGGAGGCCTGTGACTAGCGGTGTGCCACAAGGATTGGTGCTGGGTCCACAGCTATTTGTCATTTATATAAATGATTTGGATGTGAACATTGGAGGTATGGCTAGTAAGTTCGCAGATGACACTAAAATTGGTGGGGTAGTGGACAGCAAAGAAGGTTATCTCAGAGTATAACGGGATCTTGATCAGATGGGCCAATGGGCCGAGGAGAGGCAGATGAAGTTCAATTTAGATAAGTGTGAGGTGCTGCATTTTGGAAAGGCAAATCTGGGCAAGACTTATACACTTAATAGTACAGTCCTGGGGAGTGTTGCTGAACAGAGATCTTGGAGTGCAGGTTCATAGTTCCTTGAAAGTGGAGACACAGGTACTTAGGATAGTGAAGAAGGCATTTGGTATGTTTGCCATTATTGGTCAGTGCATTGAGTATAGGAGTTGGGAGGTCATGTTGTGGCTGTACAGGACATTGGTTCGGCCACTTTTGCATGCTATTCTGGTCTCCCTGCTGTAGGAAGGATGTTATGATACTTGAAAGGGTTCAGAAAATATTTACGAGGATGTTGCCGAGGTTGGAGGGTTTGTGCTACAGGGAGAGACTGAATAGGCTGGGGCTATTTTCCCTGGAGCGTCCGAGGCTGAGGGGGTGACCTTACGGAGGTTTATAAAAACATGAGGTGATTGGATAGGGTAAATAGGCAAGGTATTTTTCCCAGGGTGGGGGAGTCCAAAGCTAAATGGCACAGGTTTAAGGTGAGGAGAGTAAGACATAAAAGTGACCTAAGGGGCAACTTTTTCAAGCAGAGGGTGGTGTGTGTACGGAATGAGCTGCCAGAGGAGGTGGTGGAAGCTGGTACAATTACATTTAAAAAGCATTTGGATGGGTACACGAATAGGAAGGATTTAAGAGGGCCAAATGCTGACAAAGGGACTAGATTTTTTTAGGATATCTGATTGGCATGGATGAGTTGGACTGAGGGTTTTGTTTCTGTGTTGTATATCTCTATGACTCTAAGTGATTTTTTACGTGCTGACTGACTGACTACTTCTGCCACATTTGGGAGATTTGAGTGCATGTTGTATTCTAGAGTAGTCAGGAAAACAGGTAGGTTCACCAGCCTTTTTTGCTGCTGCTACACTGCCTGTTTTCAAAAACGGCATCCCCAGGATATACCAAAACACTTCGCGCACACTCAATGAATCAGAATCATAGGGATGTACAGTATAGAAACAAACCCTTTGTTCCAACTCGTCCATGCTGACCAGATATCCTAAATCAATCTAGTCCCATTTGCCAGCATTTGGCCCATATCTCTCTAAACCCTTCCTATTCATGTACCCATCCAGATGCCTTTTAAATGTTGTAATTATACCAGCCTCCACCACTTCCTCTGCAGCTCATTCTATACATACACTACCCTCTGTGTGAAAAAGTTGCCCCTTAGTTCTCTTTTATATCTTTCCCATCTCCCCTTAAACCAATGCCCTCTAGTTTTGGACTCACCAACTCTGGGAAAAAGACTTTGATTATTCACCCTTTCCTTGCCCCTCATGATTTTATAAACCTCTATAAAGTCACCCCTCAGCCTCTGATGCTCCAGGGAAAAAAGCTCCAGCCTATTCAGCCTCTTGCTGGAGCTGAAACCCTCCAACCTCAGCAACATCTTTTCTGCACCCTTTGAAGTTCAATAATATCTAATGTTTGTAGACAAACAGTGATCAATTTGTGCATGATCCGAAAGTAGCAGTAAGACAATTGACTAACGAATCAATTCTGGTGATTTTGATCCAGAAGAAACATTGGCCAGGAGAATACTTCTGTTCTTCTTCAAATAGTGACACGGGATGTTTTGGTATTCAGCTGAACAGACAGGGCTTTGGTTTAATATTTCAACTGAATGACAGGGTCTCTAGAAAGTGTTATATTTTAAACATCACTATACTTTGTTGACCTCCACAGACAACAAAAAGAATATTGAAAGGAACTTTGTTGGATTCAAGAGACAGCTGGTCTGCCTCAGTGATTGCTACAGTCCAGCTCTTCTCCCCACTTTGTTAATTTTCCCATAGGCTTTGGATGGAATCAACATGGAAAAGCAACTGAGTCCACATATATATTTTTAAAAATCATGTAACAATGGCCATTATATGATTTAAGATTTGCTTTGGAAAATTGGACAGAAAATTTGAGCTTATAAATCAAACTGTGGCCATTGCCCCAAGGGCAGCTATACTTGACTTAAAATACTAATGCCCTGGGTAGCCAATTCTGTACTTTGCTGAAGCTATTTACTCAACTGCTTGATGCTTTGTAGCTGCTGTCAGTTTAAAGTTCAGTTCAATTCACTGAGTAGGATAACATTGCTGCTGATTATATCTAATGCTGTCTTTTTGTTTGCTCGTCCATGGATGGCAATGTCCTGTGCTGCACTGGATGATATGCCTGGATCCTGAGCCAGAAGCTCCAGATTTGAGTGCATTCCTGTGGCTTCATGGCCAAGGGAGCTGTGTTCGCAGTCTTACCAAACAGACTGAACATCAATCGTAAATTCTTCCCACACACTCCAAAGGCAGGTAGCAAGAGAGATCAGGAATGTGGTGGTGATGGGAAGAATGCTGGGACCTCTACCACCACTGTCTGGTGCTCCTGGCTACAACATGCATTTGGAAGAGCACGTTCCTATAGCAACTCAGATTTCCTGAGTGGATGAAACACACCATCATGTAGATGGTCCAGAATGAGTTTCAGGCAGGCACCAGTATCAGATTATGTTTGAAATCTTTCATAATCCTACCAACTCCAAACTCATCCACCTTGCTGCTCAGTCTACAAAACTGACTGCTTCAGTATCTGGGAACGATGGTTTTGTGGGTAGGAGTTGCATTTAGATTTGTGCCATAGACTAGGATATCCTATAGTGACCTGAGGCAAACGAGGAAGGTCCATAAATGTTCTTGCACTGTCATTGGTGTCTATAATAAACAATCAAAATTTTTGCCAGTAACATAATCAGGAACATTTGGAAAATGCAAGTGTGCAGGCATAATTTTCTTTCGAAACTCTAGAGCTGCCAAGCTCACCATTAACTTCGGGTTTCAAACTATGAATGCATTAATTTCCAGGG